CTACTTGCATATGCTGTCGTCTTCTGGTATCACTAAATTTCACATTCTTTCAGCAGACACTTTTATTTGTAAATAAAGTTTCAAGACTATCAGTAAATCAGTAATATGAGATGAAGGATTGGTAGTTGAATTTTTACACAATCATATGAGTAGAATTTAAATTTCTATTGAATTTTGCATAGCCTTGCTTCCCAAAAGATATATGATTCACATATCTTTTGGAAAACAATAAAATTTCGAGGTAAATGGAAACGTAAGTTCTACTCTAGTGATCGTGGGAAAGATCAAATACCAGACCTTCATCACCTTAAACAAAATAGGGCGAAAACATTTCACAAACTTTCACGTAAAATGGGAGTTAACTCATTAATTAAAAGATGAAATATTTCTCGAAACTCAACTCTTCATTGAATCCACTTAACTTTTGATCTTGCTTCCACGATCCCAACTGGACTACAGGCTCGACTTCACTTAAACTGGTCTCATCAACACCTCTGTCAGGACTCGAACCCGGCTTGTGGTAGTGCAGTGTATAGTCTCAACAGGTTAAGTATTACGCCACACTGCCACAAGTGTGGTTTGTGCTACAAGGAAGATGAGAATTTCACGGAACGCATGGACTTTTTCTATATCACTTTCTTTGGTGTGGATTGTTGAAAACCTACCTACAGTCGAAAATTTTCATCACCATTTATGGTGATATCATCGTTGAGGCAACAATATATTTTCCGCTAAAATCGACATGGTTACTTATCTTCGGTGTGAGTAGCATTCGAATCTACCGTCAATTCCCGACCAAAGATTCAGTTCTCCCACCTCGCTTAAGGTTATTTCAGTAGGAACACGTCAGTTGGGGACAAAATCTACTATCAATCACTAGGGCCTTTGTAACGCACATCAACTGGAATCTGTAGAAAGTTCTCCTGGTCTGATATCAGCTCATTATGCTGATTTCGTGTGTCACCCATAACATGTAGGATGTAGTACTTGGCGTTAACGCTACAGTAGAACTCTGCTCTTACACCTTAGCAGTCCAGAAAATGCGTATCCTTACTCGACCCATCCGAATCTGCCTTAGCCCATGAGTCCACACATAGCGACACCGTTTATGGTACCGGTAGACATCCAGAATGGGCGTTGGTTTAACAAGAGCCAGTGCTAGCAACGGAGTGAGCAGAGATACAGGAAGAGAATTAAAATAGAGAGAGAGAGAGAAAGACAGCGAGAGAAGGAGAGACAGCCAAGTCTGCTCACACCGGTCTGAGAAACTGTCGGATTCAGCTGATTGGGTGGAGATCAGGTCGGCCCACGGTGAGGCATTCGAGGTTCGCCATGTCGTCTACGAAGCAGTTAACGCCACGTCTTAGTCGCTTGACTACAGCCGGCCAAGTACCGGCGCCCACTCACTTGCTTCGTGTACCTTCGTGCGGGTAGTGGAATGCAGACAAGACGTTGATGGTATCTCTTTCTTACTTCACTACAGCCGTGCCCTCCAGCCAGGCGGCTTGGCTGTATTTGAGGCCAGTCGTCTTGGCGACTGGTCTGGCAGTCTGTTTGTGCGTCTCTGTACGTGAATATGTGCAAGCAGACGGCCACCTGACCCGGTTCTGTTGAGCACGACTGCGCCGCTCAGTCCGCGACTGTCAACTTCATCGGTTGGTACCTCAATCACTGCCATTCCGGCAGAAATAGCCTTTTTTGTGGTTCCTCGTCGAGTCGGTTTCACCATTTCTGCTCGGCATTCACATCGACAGGATGGCTTCTATCGTGGAACTAAACTTGCCGTCCAACTGGAATTTCGGCCGGCCTGACGCTTTATGGAAACTACAGTTGAAGTGAGTTGGCAAGACGTGTCGGCTGGACTCAATTGATGCGTGTCTGTCGCTTTCTTCCTTCCGATCGTCTGCTTTCCACCAGAACGTGGTCAGACTAGGTCGCTTAAGGTGAGATAACGATGGATAGTGTGAAATGATGATGATATTGGTGATAATGGGGATGAGGATGATGATGGTTAAACTTCAATTCAGACGGGAGATAAGGGAGTGGTTAGCTTGAAAATGGTTGTAAGAATGACACCCTGCTCTGAGGGTATGAATCATACGACGAACGAAATCTTGACATGTTTTCTTTAGATTCGAAGTAGATTGCCTCGGAGACAGCGTCAACAAGAAGGTTGCAGTAAAACCAATCGACGGCGGGTCAAGAGCAATCTGCCGTCGTCTTCTGGTGGGATCGAGCTTTGAATGTCTTCACCAAACACTTTCACCAGAAATGGGAGTAAGCTCAACAAAGTCAAATAAAATTAAGCAACATTTTGAGGTTTGTAAGTGATCTGACCTTGTTTTTGCCACTTGCTCGTTTTGTCAACTCGACCGGGTTGGATGCACCTTGTCCGAAATCGTTTGTTATGTTGGTCTTGCTAGTTCCCAACTTCGGACGGTGGACCTGGAATTTTGACAAGTTGTCGCCGGAGCAAATAATGACAAGCTCTAGGAGCTAATAATAGATCAAATACAATAAGATGTATTCGCCCAAGTTCGCATGTTTCCATCGAATTTCGCATGAACTTGCTTGCCAGATATGATTCTCGTCCAGACTGAAGTGGACTGCAGTTTCGACCTCT